ATATCACCGTTACACCGTAATGTTGGTTGAGTTTGAATTTCGTGAAAATCGGACTAAAACTGTCAGACAAAATGGCCGTCCCTCGTACGCAAATACATGTGTGTACACATCTGGTATATCAAGGTTGTGGACCCTCTAGCGGTCACAATTTTGATCCGATTTTGATGAAACTTGAAATGCATGTTTATAACCCACAGATCTTGTTCTTTTTGATATTTGCGCATATCATTATCAGATCGTAACTTCCTGAATAATGGCTCTTGATTGTACGAAAAATTACGTTTTTTAGCTTGTGGTCCCTCTAGAGGTCACAGTTTTTATCCGATTTAAAAAATCGTTTTAATATATCACCGTTTCACCCTACTGATGGTTCAGTTTGAAATTCGTGAAAATCGGAACAAAACTGCCGGACAAAATGGCCACCCCTCGTATGCAAATAGTGTAAATATGGTATATCAAGATTGTGGACCCTCTAGAAGTCACAATTGTGATCAGATTTTGATGAAACTTGTAATATATCTTTATAACCCAAAGGTCTTGGTTCCTGTTGATATTCGCGCATATCGGATCGTAACTTTCTGAATTATTTCCCTTGATTGTTCGAAAAATCGCTTTTTGTTTAGCTGGGAATTAGTATTCAATAGAATCGAGGTAGCCTATATTGATTATTTTAGGGCTTATGTTCAATTTACTACAAAAACATAGTAAAAGACAAACAATACTGAATACAAAGAAGCAAATGAGAAAATGTAAACCGTCTGGAAAGACAGCCGTCTGATGACTGAATGACGTGACGTAACGGCGGTAGGTTGCTAATGGCGTCAAAGTTTAAGATAATGTAATAAAAAACACAATAAAAAGGGCGATAATTAACGCCAAATGGTTAATAAGCTATCCATTTAGCAACTAATCGGAATTATTCAGCTATTTAATTGCACTAAATATAATACGTAAAAACTAACAAGAAATGCGAAACAGGTATGCTGTTGAAATCCTACTATAAACATGTATTTATGTAAAGGCATAAAAAGGGCGATAATCCAGATAGGATTAGGAAACTGCAGAACATTTAAAATAAATATTAAATTGGATCATTATCCAATATTATGTAGTCGGTAATATACTTATAAGAAATGTCAAACTTGGTATGTTGAAGAAATGAAAGTTTCGAAATTTCTTATAAAATGCGTACCGGTAATTGTGTACCGCCTTTGGCAGTGCACTTAAAATAAAGAGATTTTATTCTGGAAAGAAATAGTTCTTTATCGTTACATATGGTCAAAAATCGTAATGCTTGTGAAAAGAAAACACTATATGGCGTAGTATCTGGTATATTACTATAGATTGACGGATATTTTACTACTTCGTCGAAAATACCGACATTAAATTTATTGTTAATTATTTTTATATCCAGGTCAAGAACAGATACATTTATAGTGCCAAAATTTTCTTTATTTAATATAAGTTCTGGGGGATATATTTCACTTTTATATTTGCTGAAAGGTGTTATGTCATCAATGTATCGGAAGGTATAGTTTAGACTTTTAGCTACTTTGTAATCAGTTTTTCGTTAATGATCCTGAAAGCAGAATTCGTATTTATATAAATCTGCATTTGCCATAAATGGGACGGGATCAGTTCCCATTGGCAAACCAATTGTTTGCTGTATTATCTGATCTCCAGAAAAAGTATAATGTTTTGAAGTTTTTCTTTATCAAAAACTTAGACGTTTTATACAGAGAGAGAGAGAAATGAGGTTTAACGTCCACTCGGCACAAACTAGGTCATTTCGGGACTAACATATGGTTTAATTTTCTTTCAATAATTCGCTTGCGCGTAGGGGTCTTTAGCAGTGGAAGGAAACCGGAGGACCCGGAGAAAACCCACGAGGTTGGACAGGCGACCCTACTCCTTGTCACGTACAACCGGGGATTCGAAACCACGCCAGTTGACTCTATGACAGGTCTTATGATACAGCGCGCACGTGCTAACCAACGTCATCTATTAGGGCGGGCCATTACCATATTTAAGTAAGTGTTTCATTCGGTCACGCATTTCCGTCAACCTTATTTTATTTAATTGGACTAATCTGTGCACCATGGGCGGCTGGATAACAGCAACCCACTTCCGGAATGGATGGTGGCAGAACTCTCAGTGAGTCTATCCGAGAAAGTTGTAAAATAATGCACCAAACCAATCCCCCCACCCCAAATACACTGGTATTCTATAGGACATTTTTTTAAGGGTATACTTCAACTGACAGCCGACTAATGCCATCGTTAAACCGATAACGGAGTTCAACTGTAAAATATAACGGCAAGTTGACGACATATTAAACTTAACGGGGCTTTCAGCAACAGACTTTCTCTTCGTTAAAGTTAGCGATCCGTTAATTCCATGTTAACGAGTCGTTATAAGTGAACGAGCTTTTAACTCCATGTTAAGTTATAAGTAACGGGCCGTTAACACCACGTTAAAGCAGCTTTGAACAACGTTCGTTCGTAGGGTTTTACGTCCGCTTTGAACAATCGGTCCCAGTACTTTATATATGGCATCCCCAAGCGAAAAATCTGGCATGGTTTTAGTAAATGTTATTACACGTAGTCCTCTTTCTATTCTTTCCAATTGGCAATTGCAAGTGCTGAACCCACCACTGATGCCACGAACGCAAATTGTTATTTATTGTGCGTTGAAAGTTTTAAAAGTTGATTCTATTTGGCTTCGTTATCGGTATATATAATGTTAGAATATAGAAATAGGTAAACCATTTCCTTTGTTAGTCCCACAGGATCATAACATGTTCTATGAAGTTGTTTTTATGAATAATATATGATAATTATATATTGACTATCACTACGGTAACACCATAACAAAATCTTTCTATCAAATAAAATAAATCATTTATTATTGACAGAAAAGGACAAAACTTAATGTTACTAATTCCTTGTCTAATAATGGTTTCAGTTCCAGATGGAGTTCTATGGGTTTCATTGAATGAACATGCTTATTTTGAGTATTTAGTTAAAGGGCGTATTGCTTTATTTTTTAGAACCATTAAACAGACGAAAACCCGTCTAAAACACCTATTAATGTAACACACCTATGAGTGTTTACAAAGTGTTTTACACCCCTTTTTTAAAACCAAAAATGGTATGTTGTAATTTCTAATCAATTTACTTTTCGGTGAAATAAGCGAACAGTCCAAATTTAGTCCATTCTACACGTTTTTGGGGGGTTTTTTTTGGGTGGGGGGGGGTAAAAAAAGAAAAAAATTATTTTGTTGTATGTGAACCAGCCATTTTTAATTACAGTGGCGTTGTCTTTTGGGCTATGTTTTCCTTCATTACAAAGATCCGTAGTATACCCAACTATATTTTCACGGTAACAACTAGTGTTCGGATATTCGAACAAGAATACTATTTGAATATTCGACGGGTTTTGAAATTTGTATTCGAATAGTATTCGAAAATACTGTTCGAATATTTTCAATTCTTAATATAAATATATTTAAAGTGTTTTATATTCAATTTATTATAATTTCTAATTAATTATGAAATACGTGAAATTTCTGGTGACATGTGAACAATGCACAAGATTATATTTTAGCAATTGCCAGTGGATCTTTTACGTAAACTGCCAATCTGTACACAAGACCTCGGTCGTCTATGGCATTGCAACAAATAGACGCGGACCTCAACCACACTCCAGTCATCTGCCATCTCCGTCAGATGCTCTTTTAGTTTATCCGAAGTATGTGAACCTGGACATGATTACACTTCCAGAATCTTTGCCACCATCCCCCATTCTGGTGATAAAAAATGAGCGGTTAAATTAATGCAAGACTCATTTTGTTCATGTCCATACATCTGTGGTCACAGCGGCTAACTTCTGACTTAGGTCATTCCTGATTTGACGTTCGTCGGAACGAACGGCATCATAGATTCTCTTCCATTTTTTTTTTGAGTGTTTTACTTGCCGGCAAATTGTGGGATGGATTCAGGGCTTGTGGGATGGACAAATATTTGTTTCAGAAAGACATTAGGACCTTAAACAAGAAAATATATGAGGTTATTTATTTAAAAAATAAATCTGATTCAAAAGAAACCTATAAGAGAAAATTATATAAAATCACGATAAATCGAAAATTAATTTTTATTTACCAACCGGCGAAGGTCCTCCGAAGTGCTAAGGCCTCTTTTTAAGAAATGTTGAGTTTATGATCTACACAAATCTAGTCTTTACTAACTTGATCCGTTTTATGTAGTTATTTTTCCTAGGCTGGACCGACGGATCAGAAATCAAATCTTAGACTGACTTCTGGAAATGACTTATTTCGTCAAACACGTTACTTATTGACGAAACCTGGATTCAGTCCAGTAAAAGGTGATTATTTTCCTAACAGTGTCTAACAAGAGCCTGCAATAGAGACTACCTTTCCGTCAGTATTACAGAATCAACCAACGGAACATTTTCGACCATATTCATTGAGTGGCCTAATTTGTAAGATTTTCCAAGGGGTATTTTGCCTAGTCAAAAAGCAGAAAGTTGGTATTGAAAGGGTATCACAGAGATTCAGATAGTTTCTTGCGACTAGAAGCATGGGCGTCATCTTGTTATTCTTTCAAAACTCATAGCGGTTAACAAGTTTATCTGACGGTCGGTAACGGTGCATAGGATAGGGCCTATTGCAATACGAAAGAATTTTTACTTGCTTTTTACCCTGGACATGGCTCCATGGCTGCAGTACCAAAATGGATTCCGTTTTAAGCATTTCTAGCACTAAAAAGACAATTAATTTTGAATAATACCAATGCACTATAATACTATAGAGTAATATATTTTAATAGCGTTGGATAAAACCCCTAAAATTTAACCGATTCGTAAACCAGAATCTTAACGATAGCCTGATAATTTGTCTCATTTTTCATTTAAACCGCGTATTTAAACTGCCGCTAAGTTACCCAGTTTGATCGTTCTGTGTTATTTGTTTTTTTTTTCAGCTAGTTGTCAATTTAAATCACGAAATTGCTATATACTGTCAGTTGTGTGTAGCTCTGGGGTGTAACTGTGATAGTAATGATCTCAGGTTGCAGCTTTTAAAACACAGAGAGAAGGCCCTGGATATATCATTGAAAACCAAAGATCAATTATTGCCATTGTATAAAAAGTAAGTGCAGTTTTATGTGTGTATCTGATCAATATTTGTCAGTGAGTGGGATGAGTAAGGTTTCTAGGCGGTAATTTATGATAATGATTCTAAGGCTACACTACAACAGTGAGGAAAAGGTAACCTAGGTCACGCCAAAGGACCATTTCTCAGCAACAACTGATAATCTGTTGTGTGTGGTTTTAATTGAGGGGAAACGCTATGACCCCGGCCGATTTAATGCATAATAATTTCACACACGATGGTCAGTAGCGGATTATCAGTGAGGCTGATGAGGCTGCAGCCTCAGGCCCAAAGATTTTGTAAAAAAAATTTTTTTAGACTTGTCTGATACGATTAAAAACGCATAGACAATGAATGTTAGGCGGGTGGGGTTTAGGCCCAACGGGAATCAACATAGGCCCTGACCCGAAATTAATTAGGCCCACGCCATTTTAAATAGGCCCTATTGTTTGGAGATCTGATCTTATTTTTTAAACGTAGGTCTACAATGTACGTTAAATCCTTGTAAGTTTTCGGTTGTCTTGCTTTATATATTGTATCCACGTGACGTCATTTATGGGCATATAAAGTTACATTACCAATATCAAACGACTTTGGCTTAGTATAGTCTAAGACGTCATACTAGTTATGACGCGATTGTAGGCCCCTGGATAACCTCAGTAACGAGTCCCGTTTTTATACGCCCACATTTTCATGTGGACGTATTATGCCGTCGCCCCTGTCCGTCCGGACGTCCGTCCGTCCGTCCGTCCGTCCACAATTGTTTGTGGACTCTCTACAGGTCACAATTCTTATCCGATTTCGACGAAACTTGAAATATAGGTGTATCCAAAAAAGATCTCGGCTGCTTTCGATATTGGCATGTATCGGATCGAAACTTCATGGATTATGGCCCCTGTTTGTACGAAAAATCACGTTTTTAGCTTGTGGGCCCTATAGAGGTCACAATTTTGATCCGATTTTGTTGAAACTTGAAATGTAAGTTTATAACCCAAAGATCTCAGTTCCTTTCGATATTCGCGCATATCGGACAGTAACTTCCCGAATTATGGCCCCTGATTGTACGAAAAATCACGTTTTTAGCTTGTGGACCCTATAGAAGTCATAATTTTTATCCGATTTAAAAAACCGTTCTATTATATCACCGTTACACCCTAAGGATGACTGAGTGCGAATTTCGTGAAAATTGGCCCATAATTGACAGACAAAATGGCCGCCGTTCATTCCCAAATAGCGTAAGAATATGGTATATCAAGGTTGTGGACCCTATAGGGGTCACAATATTATCCGATTTTGTTGAAACTTGAAATGTAAGTTTATAACCCAAAGATCTCGGTTCCTTTCGATATTCGTGCATATCGGACCGTAACTTCCTGAATTATGGCCCCTGATTGTACGAAAAATCACGTTTTTAACTTGTGGACCCTATAGAGGTCACAATTTTTATCCGATTTTTTTGAAACTTGAAATGTAAGTTTATAACCCAAAGATCTCGGTTCCTTTCGATATTCGTGCATATCGGACCGTAACTTCCTGAATTATGGCCCCTGATTGTACGAAAAATCACGTTTTTAGCTTGTGGACCCTATAGAAGTCATAATTTTTACCCGATTTAAAAAAACGTATTATTATATCACCGTTACACCCTAGGGACGACTGAATTCGAATTTCGTGAAAATCGGCCCAAAATTGACAGACAAAATAGCGTAAGAAAATGGTATATCAAGGTTGTGGACAATTTTTATCCGATTTTGTTGAAACTTGAAATGTAAGTTTATAACCCAAAGATCTCGTTTCCTTTCGATATTCGTGCATATCGGACCGTAACTTCCTGAATTATGGCCCCTGATTGTACGAAAAATCACGTTTTTAACTTGTGGACCCTATAGAGGTCACAATTTTTATCCGATTTTTTTGAAACTTGAAATATAAGTTTATAACCCAAAGATCTCGGTTCCTTTCGATATTCGTGCATATCGGACCGTAACTTCCTGAATTATGGCCCCTGATTGTACGAAAAATCACGTTTTTAGCTTGTGGACCCTATAGAAGTCATAATTTTTACCCGATTTAAAAAAACGTATTATTATATCACCGTTACACCCTAGGGACGACTGAATTCGAATTTCGTGAAAATTGGCCCAAAATTGACAGACAAAATGGCCGCCGTTCGTTCCCAAATAGCGTAAGAATATGGTATATCAAGGTTGTGGACCCTATAGGGGTCACAATATTATCCGATTTTGTTGAAACTTGAAATGTAAGTTTATAACCCAAAGATCTCGGTTCCTTTCGATATTCGTGCATATCGGACCGTAACTTCCTGAATTATGGCCCCTGATTGTACGAAAAATCACGTTTTTAACTTGTGGACCCTATAGAAGTCACAATTTTTATCCGATTTTTTTGAAACTTGAAATGTAAGTTTATAACCCAAAGATCTCGGTTCCTTTCGATATTCGTGCATATCGGACCGTAACTTCCTGAATTATGGCCCCTGATTGTACGAAAAATCACGTTTTTAGCTTGTGGACCCTATAGAAGTCATAATTTTTACCCGATTTAAAAAAACGTATTATTATATCACCGTTACACCCTAGGGACGACTGAATTCGAATTTCGTGAAAATCGGCCCAAAATTGACAGACAAAATAGCGTAAGAAAATGGTATATCAAGGTTGTGGACAATTTTTATCCGATTTTGTTGAAACTTAAAATGTAAGTTTATAACCCAAAGATCTCGGTTCCTTTCGATATTCGTGCATATCGGACCGTAACTTCCTGAATTATGGCCCCTGATTGTACGAAAAATCACGTTTTTAACTTGTGGACCCTATAGAGGTCACAATTTTTATCCGATTTTTTTGAAACTTGAAATGTAAGTTTATAACCCAAAGATCTCGGTTCCTTTCGATATTCGTGCATATCGGACCGTAACTTCCTGAATTATGGCCCCTGATTGTACGAAAAATCACGTTTTTAGCTTGTGGACCCTATAGAAGTCATAATTTTTACCCGATTTAAAAAAACGTATTATTATATCACCGTTACACCCTAGGCACGACTGAATTCGAATTTCGTGAAAATCGGCCCAAAATTGACAGACAAAATGGCCGCCGTTCGTTCCCAAATAGCGTAAGAATATGGTATATCAAGGTTGTGGACCCTATAGGGGTCACAATATTATCCGATTTTGTTGAAACTTGAAATGTAAGTTTATAACCCAAAGATCTCGGTTCCTTTCGATATTCGTGCATATCGGACCGTAACTTCCTGAATTATGGCCCCTGATTGTACGAAAAATCACGTTTTTAACTTGTGGACCCTATAGAAGTCACAATTTTTATCCGATTTTTTTGAAACTTGAAATGTAAGTTTATAACCCAAAGATCTCGGTTCCTTTCGATATTCGTGCATATCGGACCGTAACTTCCTGAATTATGGCCCCTGATTGTACGAAAAATCACGTTTTTAGCTTGTGGACCCTATAGAAGTCATAATTTTTACCCGATTTAAAAAAACGTATTATTATATCACCGTTACACCCTAGGGACGACTGAATTCGAATTTCGTGAAAATCGGCCCAAAATTGACAGACAAAATAGCGTAAGAAAATGGTATATCAAGGTTGTGGACAATTTTTATCCGATTTTGTTGAAACTTAAAATGTAAGTTTATAACCCAAAGATCTCGGTTCCTTTCGATATTCGTGCATATCGGACCGTAACTTCCTGAATTATGGCCCCTGATTGTACGAAAAATTGCGTTTTTAGCTTGTGGATCCTATAGAGGTCATAATTTTTTATCCGATTTAAAAAAACGTATTATTATATCACCGTTACACACTGAGGACGACTGAGTTCGAATTTCGTGAAAATTGGCCCAAAATTGACAGACAAATTGGCCGCCGTTCGTTCTGGAATAGCATAAGAATATGTTATATCAATTGTAATTTCCTGAATTATGGCCCTTGATTGTAGGAAAAATCACTTTCTTGTTAGCTTGTTCTCTATCCATCTCTCGAAAATGTGGGCGTATCCTGCCTGGCAGCCGCTGGTTAATGTTAGCAACTACCTTGGCTCTAACTTTAAAAACTAAATAGGCCCTCCAGCAACTGCCGCCTCAGGCCTTGGTGGAACTTAATCCGCCACTGACTATGGTCAATTATATACATATACACAGAAAATTATACCCATATTATGTTTCCAGGAATTTGAACTGTCTTTCATATACCCTCCTTTGCTCGGCCTGTCGAGCCACAAGAATGTTCAATTTTTGTACAACCAAGGCAATAGCCTACATTAATTAAAGATACATTATGGGAGATTAGATAGAGAGCTGGTAGTTCTCACTATAATAGTGAAAAACTAGATTATAATGTAAAAGCAATTTGCTGAAAATTTCAGTTAAATTGATCCACTCTGAACCCAGTATTTAGCGATTGAATTTTGGGCCTAGCCTCGATCATCATTACTAAAGTCGGTACGATAAAAAAAACCATAGTCTCGATTATCCACTTTTGGATTTAATCAGAGGCAGCAGACCGGGTTCTAATCCAGTAAATATCGCAGGCTAGCGATGCCATCAAGAGTTGATTATGGTCTGGATAAGTTTATTAATGTCTAATTAATAATTTAGATAACATTTCAGGCCTAAAGAAAGACCTGCAATTGGCAGATTTAGCCCTTGCATAATGTATGTTTAAAGCATATCCTTTATTAAATAAAAATGTGAAAGTATATTTATATTGATCAAGAGCTCGAAAAATATAATTTAGCTCGCTCCGCTCACCTGTCTTTCGTTTCTTGCTTTTCTCATAATATCGCCAAACTTTGGTTGCACCCCGGCAACACCCCCCACTCCGCCTCCATACATAATGACTTATGGTCTGCGGCAATATAGAACCTACCATCAAACAACTTGCGTCATTGTTTCATAATTCAACTTTTCAGAGATAGATATATGGTTCCATTTAGAGTTTATAAGTCCCAATATGGGGGACCCCGGAGATTTGTTAAATGTCGCAAAGGGTCCCCAAATAGAAAAGGGTTGGTGGGAACCACTGGTCTAAGATAAGACTTGATAACTCAAGTGCATTTAGTTAAACAATTTGATGTATGTGTACATATTTGCTGTATTTGAGTATACATGTATTTGCAGTATTTATTTGATGTAAGAATGTGTTATTTTTTCATTCTGTGTTACACGCTGTCATTATTCTTTATTATGTAATTAAAGTGATACGCCACAAGCTGAAGATAGAAGAGATATAGAAAACTTATGTTTTATATTTTCTGGATGTTTAGAACTGTTTAAAATAGAACTCTATAAATCCCTTTCATTACATCGACTATTTCCTCTTTCTTCAGGTAAACATATTATTTTATAATATAAAGTTATTTTTAAACTACCAGTTTTAAGAATCCCTTCTGATCCCTGACACAAATTAGGGACTAACATGGGACAATATGCGCATGGGGCCCTTAGCAGAAGAGAAACGAGAGAAAGGCCACTCAATGATATAAAGCGCACGCGTTACCCCCGTGCTTATTTTGCTTAATAGTTAATCCAGCCCTGCATTGCCCCCTCATATTAATTATGCGTCGAATAATTCCTTATTACAAACAAGGCATGGGGATAAAATGTTCTGGTCTTTATCCCGTCTGCCGACCAAGAGAAATGCTATGAAAAATTATGTTATGCCCCACACATTATATAAAATGTAATAGTTGAATTTTTCCTTAGATCACAGCTACCCCAGTTTACGATTTATTATTACTTTTGGTATCAAAATAAAACCCCAGATGTATTTGAAGTAGAGATGTGAGATTCATAATTTCACTCATTTGTTGTTAGTGTGACTATAGTTTTGTATGTTTATAGGTAATGTGTGTTTAATTAATACTGGTTTATCGGGGACTACGCATTGTTCCTTGTCTTGCTCAACAATAAATAGTTCAATAGAAAGAGAAAGGGATCTGTTGCACGGAATTGAGAAGTGAGTAATTATTTGTTTCTCTATTTTAACATTATAATAATATTGGAAAACAGAGTCAAATTTGTTTACATTTGAAAAATATTTTTTACCCATTCAGTTCTAATTATTTTCATACGGTACGCGCAACGTGTTTTTGTGGTCGGTTATTCTCACTCGTGACATTGGAACTGCATATTCTATGGGTTTTGCATATACCTTGAGTGTATTAACCACGCTAATTTATCCCAACGTAAGAAAAACTCTTATATCATCGCCGGTGAGGCCGTGGTATTTAGGCTGTTCCAGACATAATTGAAAAGGACCATTGTCCAACAATAGGATTGTCTACGATATCACCCCTGGTGGAAGTGGACATAAAACTCTAGGAACCAACGAACCAGCAATAGGAAACTTAACAAAAATCAATTGTTTTGTCAGTCTCTCCGATATTGGATATTCTGTATTTTTTATTATGTATTGTAGAGATCTGACGTGTATCAAGAATCTAGAAAGAGATGTAGATCAGTTAATCAATGTTCAACCGTGGACAGTTGAACCAGAAACCACTACTGATAATTTTGGTAAATATACGGTTTCATTTTATTTCCACAGAAAATGAAAATTTAAAGCTACTGTTTTGGGGATTTATCTTTTAGCCCAAATGTTATAGAAGCATGAAAATAGGCGTACGGCCCCAGGGCATATTTTAAGGAAATTTTCTCGGAAATACGCCCCCCTGGCAACGTTAATTCTAGGGGGCGGGATGGGGGGGCGGCTTTGGAATTTTTTTTAAAAAAATGGTCTGTAGCGTCCATTTGACGTATATATGCGGAAATAATCTCGACGAGGTCACTGCCAAAACACAGAAACCTATATATTAATTCATACCGATGACTGACGCCATTGAAGAATAATAAGCGGAAATTGGGTTGTTTTTTTTTTAAATTTAATAACTCCTCTAGAATCCATTTAGTCCGGGAGCCCAGTAAAATTTAATCATTTTGGAAAGCCAAGTCTTAAGTTTTGTAACCTGTGCATATACCTGGAAGCGCTCCCCCCTAACCCTCCCATATTTAATGGGAGTTAAAATTCAATGTCCATCCCCAATTTTCTTGCAAACGTTTCATACTTAATACTATAAAGAAACAGAATGCATGACTTAAGAGCATACAATGTTGTACTAATGCTACTTAAGAGTTTAATTAATTAGCACTAATTAGTGACCATAATTAAAATTTAGAGTCCATAACTGAAACAAAGCCTAAATACTAGCGACAAAAGTTGAACAAACCTTGCTTAAGACTCGTTCACAGGTGACAACGGTCAAAGGTCACTAATGAATGACCGTAATTAAAATTAAGATTCCATAACTGAAACAAAGCCTAAAAGCTAGCTAACCAAGTCCTAAATATTTCCAATTGTAAATTAGATTTACTGTGGAGTGAGGCACGTATTTCGGAATGTGATGCTGCTTTGGGCGATTTCAACGCCAGGGATGCTTCTTAAAGGAGGCATACAAACCCTGCGACCGACCCATGATAATTTCTAGATATCAAAAGTAGTTTAGAACTGTCTATGTGATTAATTACAAAGGCCCATTTATGTATTCCACCAATGCTACTTCTAATTATATATATACGAAGTGGATATTTTTGATATAATATTTGCATTGTCATCATTCTGTTCCATACATTTCTGTCTCCTCATTAACACACTGATCGGCAGTGAATATTTGCTAGGCCGCGATAATCACTGATAAGGATGACATCAATACGACTTAATGAGCCTCAAATATTAACTTTTTTCCTCCGACAAATGAAATTCTAAAGCATTTTTTTTTATGTATTAGAAAAATAAATAAAGACGTTTTGGTATTTGTAGGTAAAAATTATTTCCTATTTTAGTGTAAATGGGTATTAAAATGAGTAAAAGGGGCCATTCTGCTCGAATCAGTAACGTCTAATGTAAACAATGCACACGCCATTGAGCCAATGATTGACGCCGCGCGATATAACGTCATGTGTTGAAGACAGTCATCTTTTACAGAGATATTAGAAGACTTTCGTAATACTCTGTGAAACAGATTGCCTCATTAACTGTATGCTATTTATCTGTTCGTAACAATATTATATTGTTAACGATTGTAAATATGGATCTGGTACTGACAAGCTTGATGCAGGCTATAAAACCGTGTTCAATTAAATAAAAGGTTGTTGATAAGAAAACTTGTTCGCAAACTAATTGATAAGTCCACAATAAATAAATACTTTAATTTTAACAAGCACACACCTGAGACATTATCGACAATGCGGAAGTAATTTAAAGGAGCTAAATCGCTAATATTTGGGACCTAGAAATTGACACAAATGGGTCGCAACGCATATAATAATGTAATATCAGTTATGTGCGGCGAAATACGCCAGAAGTCTCAATCGAATGGCAATCTCTAGCGTCTGGTTATTCCAGTCTACGCCGATAGTATTTATTGCGCATGCTCTCCAGATAAGAACATGTCGTCAACGTTTAACGTGACTGGTGGAATATGTATAACCTCGTTCTTCGTTAAAACGCACTATGGTACACGATTCGTGTACCAATGGTAAAATGTTTATTTTTTCTTAAATATTAGACATCAGAAGCCCATTTTTACCCAGTAAGAACACACAGCATCAATGTTGATTTAAATTGACAAATTATTCGTGTTTTCAATTTCGAAGAATTTAGATGATATTGAGTTAGAGATTTAGCTACTTTAAAATGGCTGTTTCACACACCCTATCACATACTGCACGCAGCGACCCATCTACGTCATACTTCCCAGAATGTGACACTGCCCTAGTTAGCCGCCATTTAAAACGGACACGTGATCATTTTGGGGCCGGACTTATCAACGAGAAACCGCTTTGTTTAGACAACAGAGTAAAAATAACCCACGCACGTGTGTTTTATGTAAACACGCCATGTCGCTGACACTCGCGTAAAAGCGATATATAATATTTGCTATGGGTAATATTGCAATAAATTCTTTAACATTGTAAACTGTCTTTAGAGTTTCAATCTGTTTATCTTTCAAAACAAGGTTAGATACTCCTAAATTTGTTTTCGCAAACAAAACCGCCTCTGTGAAATTATCTGTCATAGGCGCCGCCATATATTGAATAATTAGGGAACTTTTTTGTGATTCGGTTCTGATTAGTTTGACATCTTTCATACACACAACGGCTAAATAAACATATTTAATTTCATTCAATACGACAATAGAAGAGAAATAAATACTTCTAAAAATTTCTAAAAGCATACTCAGTGTTTTCGACTAAAATCGTCGATGTAGGAATTAAAATGTCGGTTAATTAGCTTAGGGCCTATTCTCAGCCGGAGCTAGCTGCAGATAGGCAGCCTAAGTTTGGGATGACCCTATCACCGTCAAAACAGAACAAAACAAACCGTGTAGAATATACTATCACAGGCGCAAAATGACTGCCGTTCAATTTGGATTTTTCGCGTATTTCACCAAACATAATAAACATGCATTATGCAGGAGCTAAATCTGTCAGCTGCAGGTATTTCAGTAGTTATATGTTATATAATCTATTAATTATTAATCTATTGATTAACCGTAAAAATGGATAAGCGAGACTTCTCTATTATCGTTACAACAGTAATAATGACAACTGAGGCTACAGTGTTCTTGATCAAGAAATAACAACCGCTCCCCCAGTCAAGCTAGCACACAATAATCTGGCAGACAACAGTCAGGTTGCCAGTTAGTGATCCGCTGACATTTTTGCCCATTGCTTGCCCCACTGGTGTTTTTCAGGTAATCCAGTATTTTTCCAGTAAGATAAATCGGTGTATGGCAACCTTAAAATAAGTTACTCATGGGTTGGCTCGCTAGCATGGAGGTCGGGTGTTCGATCCCTGCATTGGCCGAGAAAGTTCATCCAGATTTTCTGGCGTGGTCCCCCCTTGTCAGTGATGCAGGACAGAGGGCCTGACAAGTACAGCTGTCTAGTCCTTCGGATGATACGAAAAACCGAGGTCCCGTATATGCATTGGAATGCACGTAAAAGATCCCTTGGCAGTTGGAATTCGGTATAAGAGTAGGCGATAGTGCCACTGCCCGGGCAAAAATTTCCCTCATAGCACACTGTATGGCGTATGCCCGTCTTCATCAGCCCGGTATAGGAGCAGAACAGTAGGACGTTAAACCCCATTTCATTTCATTTCATTTCTCTGTATCTTGTAATAACAAGATCGGCTATCATTATGTGAACTCAAAATTTGACCTTTGTCATCTTTGAAAGAGTCTTAAGCAAGGTTTGTTCAACTTTCGTCGCTCTTTCTTAAGTGATATTTTTGGTTTCATGACTTGGTTAGTTAGCTTTTAGGCTTTGTTTCAGTTATGGACTCTAAATTTTAATTATGGTCACTAATTGGTGCTAATAAATTAAGCTCTTAAGTTAATGAAATGAAATGAAGTTTAACGTCCTACTGTTCTGCTCTGAATTGGGCTAATGAAGACGGGCATACGCCATACAGTGTGCTATGAGGGACATTTTGCCCGGACTGCGGCACTACGGTCTTACTCTTATATCGAATTCCAACTGTCAAGGGATCTTTTACGTGCACGCCAATGTGTACACTGGACCTCGGTTTTTCGTCCCATCCGAACGACTAGACAATCGGAAAATCTGGATGAACTCTCTCGGCCAATGCAAGGATCGAACACCCGACCTCCAGGCTAGCGAGCCAGCGTCTTTCCCACTTAGCCACCGTGATCCCCAATCTCTTAAGTAGCATTAGCACAACATTGTATGCTCTTAAGTCATGCATTCTGTTTCTTAGTGGTAAGTATGAAACGCTTGCAAGAAAATTGTGGATGGACATTGAAGTTTAACTTCCATTACATATGGGAGGGTTAGGGGGAGCGCTCCCAGGTATATGCACAGGTTACAAGACTTGGCTTTCCAAAATGATCTAGCGGTAAAATATGTGTTGTAGACCTCAAACCTTTTGGACTCAATATTTTGATTAAATCTCACTGGACTCCCGGGTTAAATGGTTTTGCAACCGAAACCCCACTCTTAGGCCGACCTGAATTCCAATCATCCAATCAGACTGCTAAGGCTACATATTGGTATATGTTAGTTCAAATATTTTGATATTTTTACTTCACAGCTTGTTATGACAGCTCAAGTGATGATACAGTATCTTTAGATATAAGAATAGTAAGTGATGCTTTATAATCTTGTAGTTTAGTTCAAATAATTTTAATCTTATTAATAGAAGAATTCTAGGCAACTCAGAAACATGATGTTTCCAGGCAACAAAAATACAGCCTCAAACAGATGTTTGATAAGCGGTGAAGTAGCCATTTAAAAAAATACTCTCAGTTTACAAGGCTTTAATGGAAAACGAACAAATCAGTGAAAAATACATGCATGGCACTCAATTTCAATCGGGTTACCCCCAATTGATTCTGTGCCATCATTTTTTTTTTAATCTAAAAATAAAGGGTTAGATGACAGTAACTCCGGAAAGAGCCTCTTCGCCACAAAATTACAATAGAGTTCCTACTTGTGACAGCACGTTTGTTCACACTTTACAATCTTTGCCAGCCCAATTAAAAAAAAACTACACCAACTTACTGTACTGTTCTATATTTGCCTCCAATTCATCTTGGAGTGATAACGGAATACACAATCTGTAAATAACACGCAGTTTTGATTATATAGAATCTCTGGGTTATCCCATCATTAAATATATAAAAAATGTCTGTCTCTACAAGCTTTAGGTGAAAGAGGCAATAAATCAACTCAAACTATAAGACGGGTAGAAAGGTGATGTAAAGGGTAGAGAGCTGATGTAATTTTTTACGATATCATTTGCTAATTATTATTTTATTTTAGGATGATGCAAGGAACAGGAATAGAGGAAAGTGTGTTTGGATAGTTATGGTTACATTGGGTGTGGCTACGGTGACTGGTAGTGTTATTGGATTGTCTATTGGGTTATCATGAAGCTACATTCACCCTATAGGGGAGACAACTGTTACCGCCCATGAAAACCTGCAATTGGACTATTCCGTTATGCTGCAGAGCCAGAGGACCATTTCTCTTGGCAGACATTGACGGGGAATTCTACCAGAAAGTGCCCCTTATGCCACCAGTGCCAAAAGTGTTTAATACTGAAAAAGATACAATGGAATAAACATATGAATGTCTTAAGGATTTTAAGCTGTTATTCGTCCATTTATTTGTCTCAAACCTTAATGTTTTACAAACTTTAGATTGTGTTATATGAAGCTATAATATGTAATGTAATTTCAGTTAAACATACATTATGCAAGAGCTAAATCTGTCTATTGCAGGTCTTTCTTTAGGCCTGAAATGATATCTAAATTTTTAATTAGACATTAATTAACCTATCCAGACCATAATTAACTCTAGATGGCATCGCTAGCGATCCTTAGTGGATTATAAACCGATTTACTGCATAACTTTCCTTCACGATTTAACGATTAAATGGATAATCGAGACTATGCTGTTTATCGTACAGACGTTAGTAATGATGATCGAGGCTAGGCGGAAAATTCAATCGTTTAGTTCTCGGTTCATAGTGGATCAATTTGAATGAAATTTTCAGCACATTGCCATAACATTAGCTAGTTTTTAACTATTATAGTGAGAACTGCCAACTCGTTATCGAATCTCCCATAATGTATCTTTAATTATCATCTGAAAAGTCCTAACAGTTTGAGTTTAATATATGTTGTTATATTACATGTTTTGCGAAATCTAAAATGAAAATTGGTCCATTATAGATGATATCTTTTAATGCGAATATTAATATTGGTAGCCTACATGTAGGCAATTTTAGTCTTTAGATTAGAAGCTTACTGTCGGCGATTAGAAACTCTGTTAGACATTGTAAAAATAAATGATCCATGAGCCTAATAGTGTGCTAACGGTTCGTGACATCATGTTTTCTTTCGTGTCACTGTGAAAATATCATTATCTTTCAATACTGGTATCCAGGTTTCATTCATACCCAGTCCTTTATGTCCATAGAGCCTTATATATAATACAGAAATTTCACATCGATCTGAAGGAAATCAACCTGCGGAACAATGATTGTCGGGTTATTATACCGGTCGAGTAAAATGTACCTGTGTTTTGGTCATGTCCGTGGCCAATAAGGCTAAATGGTTACATAAACAGCATTTCTATACGAGCCACAAGATTAGGCGACGTGAATATGACTTTGTCGGATACACAGAACATACTATGTCATGGACACACAACCTAGCCTTTGTTATTTTAAGGTAAAGTGCTTATTGTTTATTTCGATTTATTTCATCTGGAAAATGGGATTGGTATTTTTCTTTTTGCCTAATCACAATTTCTTTCAATACCTTTCTTTGATATTTTAGTTTTTCAGCCTCTTGATGAATAGGAAGTAAAAATTTAATAGGTGTTCTTGAACAAACAGAATTCAAATCGATGTGACCTTCTTAATTTATTTATATCCATGATGCCGAAACATAATTTAATCAGATATTCTTGTCTATGCTATTTTGAAAGACTACAATTCCTTCCATTTCTAGAATAAACACCGGTAATATTTGTTTTCACATTATAGTCATGCTGTTCTGTAATACTAAATGTGCAGTGAGTGTATTTATTAATATTATATTTTAAGTCCCCACGTTAGTATTTATTGTTGATATGTCTAGGTTTTTTTAAATTTTATTACTCATAATTTTAGATGCAAAAATGTATGTCCAAGATCATAAATAATATAAATTACAATCTTTTTTTTTTTTTTATGCGAGGGTTATAAATTATACTCTTGAAAAAAAAGTATGGGATCTTGAAATGCAAATACCTATGCAGGTTGTGATATGAAAAAAAGTCATGGACACTTGGCATGCTTTGAGAGTATGTTCACAGATGAAGAACTTATCGCCCCAACAGAACCACTGTGCTGCACATGCGACACGCAATAGCGCCATACACGTGGGAGGGGTTCATTGTCAAATTTGACACTTCAAGGAAGGGTTGATGAAAACTGCCGCGTGCTGGTTTATCTATCCATGTTTGCTTTCCTATCGGTTATTGCAGAAGATTCACTGTTTAGCGTATCTTTGCTTTAGTGTGTTACGTTTAATTTGATCGGGAGACGTCTTCGTCAACGTCAACCGACAACACTGCAAGAATTGGCCGTGACACTGCAAGAGGAGTGGGTCAGATTGCCCCAAATCGTGATTGGACAGTTGATTAGGAGCATTTCTGCAGTTTTGTATTGTTTCTGAATATACCCTACTTTTTTTTTTGAGAGAGAGAGAGAGAGAGAGAGAAATGGGTTTAACGTCCACTCGACACAAACTAGGTCATTTCGGGACTAACATATGGTTTAATTTTATTTCAATAATTCGCTTGCGCGTATGGGTCTTTGAGCAGTGGGGGGAAACCAGAGGACCCGGAGAAAACCCACGAGGTTGGACAGGCGACCCTGCTCCTTGTCACAGACAACCAGGGATTCGAAACCACGCCAGTTGACTCAATGACAGGTTTCATGATTCTGCCGAGTTCAAAATTAGAGATGGAAAATGGGTGAAATCAAGTCCCAAAAACTGGCTGGTACAGGTCAACAAGAAATCTTACAGTTCAGCTAATTTCATGTTCGGGTTGTCCATAAAGCTGTCAAAACAGTAAAAAGATGCGTATATTTTGTAGCCTCCACCAGCTTGAATCACCTGTTGAACTCTCCTCTCCATTTTCAGTTTTATTAGTATAATATTTCCACGAATAATGGAATTGGTCTAAAGTTCTAAAATAACCAATCTACAGGCTTATATTTTAGATACAATGTAGTACAAACATCCTTTAATCTTTGGTATGTTAAAATGATCGATAAACTTTTATACTACCGCTACCATTACTCCCAGTTATATAAGTAAAAATCGGATGGTAACGACTCATTAGAGTGTTCACTGGCTTCTACAAAGTGAAACAAGGGCCATAACCCTAGAAGTAATTAACGGAAATTGTTGAAACTCAATATGATTCTTTTATTATTCTAAACATTGCATATAAATTTCATGCGATCGGATGATAACTTTTGCCATTAGACTCTCCACACGGAATTGTTGAAATGCGATTGGCATCTTCTGTGTACTAATTTAATACAAATTGATTGATGACTTTTGTGATTAGAGCATTCACAAGGTTCAACAAAGTGGAACAAGGGCCATAACACTAACAGTAATTAACGGAAATTGTTGCAATAAAATAGGCTTCTTTGTCTCACCAATGTAAACAACATAATAATATAAATTTCAAAATGATATAAATATAGTCTGTAGAGTTTGCACAGCAATTATGGACCTACAGAGTCGAAGAAAATATACCACAACATTATAAAAAATTATCAAAATAGGTGCACCTCTCTGCTACGTTTGTAACAAACAATCTGTGAACATCTGAAACACATTACCCTCAAAGCTTAGACCTGAATACTGACTGACAAAATCACAATGCTATACTATGATATGCCTGTTTTTCTTTTCTGTTGTTTTGGGGTTGATTTTTTATTTTCAACAAAGCAAACAATTATATTTTTTTCAGCTGATTTATAGTTATTATAAGAAGAGGTAAGCCATAGTAACAAATAACAAAGAAAAATAATAAATTATTAGCAATAACTTATAACAAAAATTATGTACAGGGATTTATGAAAATAGATTATATAACAAACAAACCAAAATAAACATAAGAATAAAAGAATCATTAAATTAACATTATCACTAAAATACTGATCTAACAATATTTACTTGCCACAAATAGTCTCGATCTGGCTATATTAGAATAGTACAGACAATAAGCAAGTTACAGGTATTATATATACCTTATTACATTGTGACCTCATTATTTCTCAAGAAAGGTTGTATCGATTTTGATAAAAATAATTATAGATAAATTTCACATATTGCAAAAAATATTTAAGCTAGAATAAAAAACTTAGATGCATAAAAAAAAACCCGAATGAAGTATATAATGCCTTAAGGTGTAGCTTTAATAGGAAACACAATGGACATATTCATAAAATGTGTTCCCCTTATTATGACAACCCAAAAATCAACAGAACTTTATTACCTATACTGTACAACTTCTGTGTAATATCATGACATTACAAAGGGATTTGATATAATCATTCCAGTTTACACCTGATAAATGTATCCTCATATAGTATATTTAATTGGTAAGGAATAGTACAGACACAAACCACTAAAAAATGTTGCCAGATAAAGAAGATAGGTTGCCAGGCAATGAAACAAACGCCCAGAGTAGTCAAGTCGTCCGGGCACTAAATCTGATAACGAGCAATTAAATAATTATCAGAAATCATTAGAATTTGTCTCATGATCTTAAACACTGTGTATAAATTTATATTAACTTTAGTCACCTAGCGCTTCCTCAAGACTTCTCAAGTAATCAAGGGCCACAACTCTGGCAGTAATTATCAAAAATCAATAGGCTTCTTCGTTACATAACCTCAAACACTGTGTATAAATTTAAAGTCAATCAGATATTAACTTTAGCCTCTTAGTAGAGTGTCACAATATTTTTCTAAGTGACCAAGGGCCATAACCCTGGCAGTAATTATTGGAAATCATTGATAATCAATGGGATTCTTCGTCTCATGACCTTAAACACTGTGTATAAATTTAAAGTCAATCAGATATTCACTTAAACCTCTAGAACATCCGGAAGTAATTATCAGAAATCACCGAAAATCAATAGGCTTCTTCGTCCCATGACCTTAAAGGGGAAGACCAACAATTTTCAACATGGTTTCCATAAATCTTAAATATATATTCATATATCATCTCTGTAAAACAAGCAAAAATGTTTTTGTAAGCGAGAAATTAATTTTTATTTAAACTGGGGTTTAACGTCCACTTGACACAAACTAGGTCATTTCGGGACTAACACATGGTTTAATTTTACTTCAATAATTCGCTTGCGCGTAGGGGTCTTTAGCAGTGGGAGGAAACCGGAGGACCCGGAGAAAACCCACGAGGTTGGACAGGCGACCCTCCTCCTTGCCACGTACAACCGGGGATTCGAAACCACGCCAGTTGACTCAATGACAGACTTTATGGTACAGCGCGCACGTGCTAACCATTCAGCCACCCAACCCCCCTGACATATAATATAGTGTATTACGGCACATAATGTCAAGGTGAACGACTTTTCCTTTTTATTCTTTCATTTCCTCTTAAGAATGGCTGTGCTCGAATGTGTATACGGCATTAATGTAGACCCATAGAAGAGATATCTTATATTCCAATAAATTGGTGTCTGACGTTGACATACTTTGGAAATTTATATATTTATTTGAATATATATATGTGCCGTTGAAATAAAAAACATTCAAGCAAACGAAATATTTCTAACTTTCTGGGTGTCAAACAAACCATGTGATGTAAACAATTAGCCCTATGACGTGAATTGGTCCACAAGGATTTATAAATTAAACGTTAAAAAAAAACATAATTCCATATTTATAATATTCAAATAAAGGGTACCATTGGTCGGATTCTCATCCAAACGACAATGAGTGAACAAAATACGGCAGCAAACTTATGCCAAATCTGTATTCTTACTATATGCTTATAAAAACTTTTTTGCTTGTGTTATAGAGAGGGTTATTTATCAATATATATCTAAGATTTATGGAAACCTTGTTGAAAATAGTTGGTCTTCCCCTTTAAACACTGTGTATAAATTTGAAGTCAATCGGATATTAACATAGCCTCTAGAGCGTCCACAATTGCTTGTGGACGCCAGACCGACAACAATGTGGATGTATAATAAAGTTGAGAAGAAAGAGAACTAAAATCCTACAGCAAAATCTGTATTTTAATAAGACTGATATAATATTATAAAGGATTATCTTTTTATTAAGACATTCACATAAGATTTATTTATGATAAAACAACACAGTAGATTAATAATGTTACATAATTATAAATTAAACAATAGACTAGATTTAAACAAGAACATATCAATTATCTGATCCTTATGTACCGGTCCTGTCTTCATTAGCCTGGTTGGTGCAGAAAAGTAGAACCTTAATATGGTTTCCAATTTAATATTTTAAAAATAAAAGTTGACTACAGATATGACAATAATTACAAATAAATTGGTTCAAAATGAGACGAAAAAAGTCATTATATTTGTATTAATATATTGATATTTCGTTACAGTATCCATTTAATACTAATCTGGAATTCTTATATACATAAAAAAAAATATTTGCAGAATCCTCCAAAACTCATTTTAAAAAATTTAATATAATTTTCAGTTTAACGTGAGGGTAGCTATGGACAGTTCTGTAATAAACACAGCTGAAAGGATTTCTAAATTCGAATATGGAATGTACTGCAATAAAAAAAAATACAAACAAGTTGTTGGCAAACAAGATACGCCCACATTTTGCAAGAGATGGACAGAGAATATGATAAGAGATAGGTTGCCAGGCAACGAAACATACGCCCACAGCAGCTGGGCCACAGCAATATACAACTTCATTTCAATGTGGGCATATAAAAAGCGATAAGGGGCCATAATCCAGGAAGTTATGGTCCGTAAAGCACGAATATTAAAAGAAACCGAGACCTTTGGGATCTAAACATACATTTTAAGTTTCATCAAAATCCAATAAAAATTGTGACATCTAGCGAGTCTACAACCTTGGTAATACATTTAACACTTTTGCATAAGGGGGAGTGGCAAATTTGACGGGCAAATTCGGTCTGATTTTTACGAAATTCAAACACAACTGTCATTATGGTGTAACACGATTTTTCATACAATCTGGGGCCATAATTTAGGAAGTTATGGTCCGATATATGCGAATATCGAAAGGAACCAAGATCTTTTGCACACAAGGAGTGGCTATTTTATTGAGCAGTTTCAGTCTGATTTTCACAAAATTCGAACACAACCATCATTATAGGTTTACGGTGATATAGTTGAAAGTTGTGTAAATCAAATAAGCTAACAAGCGGTTGCCTTGCCATGCAGAGAACAAGCTAAAAAAAAAAAGTCAACCGTGAGGCTGATGTCCCCCGCCGAAATCCCAAAATAAATAGATGACACATTTTAATTTATCGCACATCTTTTTTTTAAAAAGTATCAAGCAATCAAACTGATTATCAACTATACACTGTTTCATCACTCTCCATCAGATAGAATCAAAGTTATCTTGCCCTAAAGCATTGACCAATGAAATTGCTTAACTCTGCTCAGCTTTAGCTCAAAATGTTAATCATTGAACTCAGTCAAGACATTCACCTAATGAACATCTACATCAAGTTTAAACATTCTACCTCAATTAAAAGCAGAGTTGTTATGTTCCAAAGTCTTGACCAATCAAATTGCTTATCTCTCCTTAGCCTAAGCAGAAAATTCTCATCATCGAACTTAGTCAAGGTAATGATATAATGAATCTATATTCAGACTAGTTTCATCACTCTCATTTAATTATAACCAAAGTTATCATGCCCAAAAGAATCAACCAATCAGATTGCTTATCTCCGCTTACCGTAAACAGACAGTGTTTATCATCGAACTAGATCAAGGCATACACCTAATGAACGCCTACACTAAGTTTGAACATTCTACCTCAATTAGAAGAAGAGTTACTGTGTTCCAAAGTCTTGGCCAATCAAATTGCTTATCACTCTGCTTACTCTGAGCAGAAAGTGCTCATTATCGAACTTAGTCAAGATATTGATGTGATAAAACTATACACCAGGTGTCCTCACTCTCACTAAATTAGAACTAAAGTTATCGTTTCCCAAAGCATCAACCAATCAAATTGCTTATCTCTGCTTACCCTAAGCAGAAAATTCTCATCTTCGAACACCTTCAAGACATTGACCTAATAAACACCTACACCAAGTTTGAACATTCTACCTCAATTAGAAGGAGAGTTATTCTGTTCCAAAATCTCGGCCAATCAAATTTCTTATCACTCTGCTTACCCTGAGCAGAAAATGCTCATTATCGAACTTAGTCAAGGTATTGATGTAATAGAACTATACACCAAGTTTCATCACTCTCACTTAATTACAATTAAAGTTATCATGTCCCAAAGCATCAACCAATCAATTATTGTTTATCTCTGCTTACCCTAAGCAGAAAGTGCTCATCTTTGAACTCCATCAAAGTATTGACCTAATAAACACCTACACCAAGTTTGAACATTCTAGCTCAATTAGAAGGAGAGTTATTGTGTCCCAAAAAGTGTGATGGACAGACAGACAGACGGATGGACAGACGGACGAACCCATTTTTATAGCCCCTGCTTTCTTCTAAAGACGGGGGACAAAAAAAGTGATTTTTGGTACAACCTGGGACCATAATCCTGGAAGTTAAGGTCCAATATGCAGGAATATTGAAAGGATCCAAAATCTCTGGGATATAAACATATAATTTAAGTTTTTTCAAAATCAGATAAAAATTCTGACCTCTAGAGGACCCACAACATATACTTTTACACTATTTGCATAAAAGGAGCAGCCATTTTGTTGGGCAGCTTCGTTTAAATTTTTACGAAATTCAAACTCAACCATCACTATGGTGTAGCGGTGATACATTTAAACAGTTTTGAAAATCGGATAAAAATTGTGATCCCTAGAGTGTAAACAAACTAAAATCGTGATTGTGATATAAACATATATTTTAAGTTTCATCAAAATCAGATAAAGATTGTGACCTCTAGAGGGTCCACAACCTTTGTATTACATACTTTTACACTACAGTAAACCTCGCATAAGTCAGAATCATAGAAGTCGGATCCTCGCTCAGCTCTGATAAAATCGTATGGACCCTTTGATCCTGAAAGTTTTTCTTATTAAATTTCTGTGCATAAGTCGGATTTCCCAAGTCGGATCTTTGCTCAACTCGGATCAAAATGTTCAGTCCATTTGATCTAATTCCGGCTTTTTTCCTTTGCCTAAGTCGGATCGGCAGTATGTTCAGAATGTCACTGTCAGGTTCTTCACGATGGTCTAAAACGCGGCTAGGTATTCCATGCACAGAGCCCCAAAATACTTTCCTCTATCATTTTGACTTAAATCAGCCTATTTGACGTGACATAATAATAGAATTTTCCCAGAAAATTTCGGACATTTTTCAAAGATGGCGACAAAACGGAAGTTATCTACTCGCACCAAAATGGAAGTTATCTACTCGCACATACGAACAAAAGCTTGAAATGTGCCTTTGACTCAATTATTATCCGGCTCTTGCAGTTTATTTCTAATCGAGCTAAGATTGAATTTCGGTCTTCAGCTAACTCAGATCTTTGCTTAACTCAGATAAAATTGGTCAGTCCACTTAGATCCGACTTACGCGAAGTTTACTGTATTTGCATAAAAGGAGCAGCCATTTTGTGAGGCAGTTTCGCTCCGATTTTCATGAAATTCGAACTTAACTGTCATTAGGGTGTAACACTGATAAATTTAAAGCTTTTTAAAATAGGATAAAAATTGAAACCTATAGCGGGTCCACAAGCTAAAAAGGCGATTTTTCATACAATCAGGAGCCATAATCCAGGAAGCAACAGTCTAATACGCAGGTATATAGAAAGTAACCAAGATCTTTGGGATATAAACATATGTTTTAAGTTTCATCAAAATCGGATAAAAATTGTGACCTCTAGAGGGTCCACAACCTTGGTATTACATAATTTTACACTATTTGCGTATGGGGAGCTGCCATTTTGTCGGGCAGTTTTCAACTCAACTGTTATTATGGTGTAACAGGGACATATTTGAAATCTTTTTTAAATTGGATAAAAACTGTGACCTCTAAAGGGTCCACAAGCTAAAAATGTGATTTTTCGTACAATCAGGGGCCATAATCCAGGAATTTACAGTCTGATATGCGCCTATATCGAAAGGAATTGAGATCTTTTGAGATATAAACATATGTTTTAAGTTCCATCAAAATCGGATAAAAATTGTGACCCCTAGAGGGTCCATACTCCACAACCTTGGTTTAACATGCTTTTACACTATTAGCGTACAGGGAGCGGCCATTTTGACTTGTCCAGCAATTTCGGTCCGATTTTCACCAAATTCCAACCCAACTGTCATTATGGTATAACAGTGATTTGAAATCTTTTTAAAAGTGGATAAAAATTATGACGTCCAGAGGGTACACAAACTAAAATCAGGGGCATTAATCCAGGAATTTACACTCTGATGTGTGCAAATATCAAAAAGTACCAGCATCTTTGGGTTATAAACATACATTTTTAGCTCCATAACAATCTAATAAAATTGTGACCACATGAAAATGTGGGCGTATAATAAGCTGGTTAAAGCCTCTGATTGTCATTTGAGGGATTGTTAATCCCTGCAATGTGCAATATTGTGGAATTTGAATCTCAATAGGAATATCCGTCCAAAAAGGGTTCAATTCCATCCACTATTTATATTACATTTACAAAGATGTGATGAATTTAAAAATTTGCAACATTCAGTGTTCCCTGAAGAAGATAAAACTGGATATAATGGTCAGAACAGAAGCAAACCAAAACGACAAAAAATGTGGTCAAAATCTATCTAAATATATATCACTACATTCTTTTTGGTACATGTAAATATTGACTATCCCAGTTCCTTGAAGAAAATGAGAAAAAAGTGATAATTATATTTATATTAACTTGTACATCCCTGAACAGACTGAAACTGCTTTTCCTTAGACCGCCCAAGATATATGAATAACTTTCCATATTATAGGAACATCAGGTTCGGATCCAGAGGGGGCGTTTGGGGGGTCGACCCCCCCCCCCCTGCTCAGCTATATAAATTTTTTTGTAAATCAACACATTTTATGAGAAAAGTTTCTTGGCCGTGTGCTTTATCCTTTATCGTCAGATGTGGGACAGGATGGGCAGTCAAAGCACGAGATAATGATATAGACATTATGTGATATCACAATTAATGCTTTGCATCCTTGAAATTGAATCACAATGTCATTGTATTAATTCATAATAAAAATTGACGTCTGTTTAAATATAGGTTGCCAGGCAACAAAACATACGCCCATAGCAGCTAAATCGTCTGAGCAGTCGACAAGGATTGTCGCATATTTATTCTTTTGTAGGTAATTAGGGGAATTTAATAGACAATTTCATACAGATGACATTATAATTTTTGGCGTTCAAAAGGTTCTAAATATAGGTTGCCAGTCAACAAAACATATGCCCACAGCAGCTAAATTGTCTGAGCGGTCGACAAGAGTTGTCACAAATTTATTCTTTTGTAGGTAATTAGGGGAATTTAATAGACAATTTCATACAGATGACATTATAATTTTCGTTGTTTGAGGGTTCACAAGGTTCTTAAAACTAAAACAAGGGCCATAACTCTGGAAATAGTCTAGAGAAATTGTTGGTTTACTAAAATAATGCATATGAATTTCATACAGATCGGACATATAACTTTTGTCGCTTGAACGTTCACAAGATTCAACAAAGTAAAACAAGGGCCATAACTCTAGAAGTAATTGACAGAAATTGCTGACATCCAATAGGCTTCTTTATTTCACTAATTTAAATGATGCATATGAATTTCATACAGATTAGGTGATAACTTTTGTCGTTCAAGCGTTCACAAGATTCAACAAAGTGAAACAAGGGCCATAACTCTAGCTGTAATTAACGGGAATTTGCTGAAACTCAATAGGCTTGTTAGTGTTACTAATTTTAACGATACATATAAATTCAATACAGATCATATAATAACTTTTGTCATTAGAGCATTCACAAGGTACAACAAAGTTAAACAAGGGCTATAACTCACGGTGTAATTAACAGAAATTGCTGAATTTCAATAGGCTTCTTCGTTGCACTAATTTAAATGATGCATATCAATTTCAAACAAATCGCATGATAACTGTTGTCATTAGAGCGTTCACAAGATTCAATAAAGTGAAACAAGGGCCATAACTCTAGATGTAATAAACGGAAATTGCTGAAATTCAATAGGATTCTTTGTTTTACTAATTTAAATGATGCATATAAATTTCATACAGATCGTTTGATAACTTTTGTTCTTAGAGTGTTAACAAGGTGCAACAAAGTGAAACAAGGGCCATAACTCCAGAAGAAATTAACGGAAGTTATTGAAATTAAATAGGCTTCTTCATCTCACTAATGCAAACAACATATATCAATTTCAAAACAATCAGATGATAAATGTAGTCTGTAGAGTGTTCACAAGAAATTGTGGACGATGGACCGACAGACAGACGGACGGGGGCGCGGCAATATACGATCACATTTCCATGTGGGAGTATAAAATGCTCAATGTGTATGTATATACGCCAAAATGACGATAGAGGCCATATGGGGGTGGGTGGGGGGGGAGAGATACATTTTCTCAGGAACCTGGCAAACAACCTCCTGCAAAAATTCCTGGATCTGCCCCTGAACATTTTGCGTGCACCACAGCTAAGCACATGACGGAGCAGTCTAAGGAGCCCTAGTTTCCCCTTTAACTTAAGAAACATTTTTTATTTCTCTGGTTTCCTACCACTGCTAAAGACCCTGACGCGCAAGCGAATTATTGAAATAAACATTAAACCATATGTTAGTCCTGAAATGACCTCTCTCTCTGACCAATTTTCACAGTAGATATTATTTTTACATTGATCACCCATGAAGCAAAGGCCCATGCTATTTTTAGTCTTTCCCTCTCCAATTTTGCATGGTGATTTTTGTGTAGAATCGAAGAAATGGGCTTGAATATACATTTTCTGAAAAGTTTTGGTGAATATTCATGATTTTGAGGCAGAAGGATAAGACAGTTAAGAGGTTGGTTAGGTTGAAATTAGGACGGACAGTTGCATGTTTACTTGCAATTGTATGCTACTCTTAGATTGTGTTTTCGATTCTGAACATATACCCTCTTTTGAGCAAGAGGTTGCCACATTGGGGGAAAAATTATAGACAGTTAAAGAGACGAGAATTAACATTAAAGTCAATGGGAAATCAATGGTGATCTGTTGCCATATCGCTGGGTTCATAAAGGGAAATAACTATTTAGAAAACTATCACAATACATACTTCAGAAAATCAGGAGCTCTAGATATGACATGTTCAAATTCAATGTAAGACAGCATACCATCATCATCTAAATCTGCTTCTTCTAAAACCTATAAACATCCAAATATTCTGTACAATAACTTATCACTAAATAATATTTAGTAAATATAATTAACACATAAAAATCATTCAAGAGTCTAGGCATTGATTCTCAAAATGTTAAATCTCTTAAAATGTATTGTAAAATAAAATCACAACTTAAGTACTATCCACTCATACTAACCAGTGATTTTAAACCCGAGAATACTACAGGCTGATATAGTGGTCCAACATCGGGATTATCATAGTAACTTCAATTTAACTCAATTCGTATTTTGTCAAAACTTGTTCAAAATAATGTATGCATAAACAATAGTTCAGATGTCACAAATTAGATATTTATCCATAAAACAGTAATATCTGATTACTGCTGAATACCTTAACCCAACATCGATGTTAGACAACAAACTCAGTTTACTTTAGAAGGATATGTGTTGTTTGCTACTCAATAGAGAAATTTGACAGATTTGGATCACATGAAAAACTAAGTGCAGATAATGATGACATTCTATGTGTTTTAGTCTTTTGACTTGACTTTAATTTTAATGATGTTTCTTACATACCTTATCAACAACAAATGCGACTTCTTCAGCAGTTAATTCATCCTGAGTTAAACTTGTTAAAGTTTTCTCTAGATCAGGTCTACTTAAATAATTATCACCATCAAAATCTACAAACAAAAATATTCTGATCTTTTAACCCCAGACTTAAAATAGATATTACGTCACCTTTTGATGTTTTTAACCAGTTTATAGGAGAATGTACGCTTTTCTTAAACAGCCATCTATTATTTATAAAACTGTCTATTATTTTCAATGAATAATGGACAGTTTTATAAATAACACAACTGTTTAAGAAAAGCATATATTATTGCCAATAATAGACACTTATCTGAAAAATGAACATGTATTTTGGGATAATTTATTCTCTGAAAAAATTAAATTACAGTACATCTTATTACTTTAAAACTTAAAGGGCACATATGATGGACGACATTACTTTTTGGTACGTATAGCCAATGGTTACTATATCCACTTTACGTCTTACGACAAGTTTACACCAATCTGATTAAAATTAATTTGGCTATCTTCACTCAAAGTCGCAAAAAGAGAACTCCGGTAAAAACGATTTAGCCAATTATTGAAAACACTCTTAATCCCCTCAGATGCCAGTGACGTCACAGTGACATAATGCATCTTCAGAATGTTTATTCCTTAATTACCTATATACAGAGAGAGAGAGAGAGAGAGAAATGGGGTTTAACGTCCACTCGACACAAACTAGGTCATTTCGGGACTAACACATGGTTCAATTTTATTTCAATAATTCGCTTGTCACGTACAACCGGGGAATCGAAACCCCGCCAGTTGACTCAATAACAGACCGTATGATACAGCGCACGCACATGCTAACCATTCGGCCATCCCCCCCCCCCCCCCCCCGAGTAAAAGAGTACAGGAGTAAAAAGATGTGCTAATGCAAAATGTATCATAGAAGTCAAACATTATTGAAACGCGATTTGTAATCGACGATCCGTTTTCAGAGTAGCCAACTGTTTCTCGTTTTCTTGTAGCCATCGTACAGCGCCTTTCTTTTTGCATGTGGATTTGGTCATTACTCCGAAATAGACCTTTAACATGAGATACGAAAAAACAACTCAATATACGTTAGAATTAACGGTACAAATAAATTTTGTTGGTAACCATCTAAATCGAATAACAGATTGAGAAGGGTCATCTAACTATCTTTGTGTATTAATAATAATATGGCAAGTGTAGTGTTGTTAATATCTGTCATTAATCAATCCGACTAAAGTTGTACAGACATGGGGTCATAAATTAATTTACACCTCGATGTGGGATTAAGAATGCTGATTAGGTAATTATCTTTTTTACGCCGGCTAGATCAAAGACATTTAGGTGGAACTTGTACGTAAAACCCCACGAACGAACGAAAAAAGGTACGGGGGAACTTTTCTACAAACATTTCTCCACACGAAAACTTATCGTAGAATCGTACACTTGTTAATTGTATAAAATAATGAAGTTTTACTCATCAGTTGTTTATAATTATTATTTACCCAATAATCAATTGGCTTTGTTCACCGATGTTTTTGTAATAAAGTAGCCTTGTATTATTTCTTGATCGGCATTTTAACAACATTGAATTGACTTCATATGAAATCTGAATATATATTATTCGATGGATAAACGGTTGTGATAAGATTAGATTTTAATGTCTAACATCGTTTAACTTCTTTATAATAAAGGTATTTTGCAATTACATTGACAGTTTAATCACTCAACAAACGGCATCAGGAACTCTGCGTATGATCACTGGATTTGATATTCAAGTCCATGAATGCCATGCAATTTTCGTGCCAAAATTTAACCTCAGTTACTACGCCCGTAGTATGCATGGGACCATACATGTTAATAAGATTCCCCTTTTTGATTGGCTGAGAAATGAGAGCTATCTATTGTTATGCATAGTCATCGGAAAATTCCATATTCGCTGTGAATTTCAAATGGAGTTACGATAAAAGTTGTTCTTTGTGTGTAGAAATAGTTATCATTATTATATATAGCTAATAATAAATATATCGACAAATGACTGGCACCATTTGTATGTCTGTACTTACAGGGAATAGTTTGGGATATCAAGTATTACAGGGTTATCCAAATTACCGGTAAATGTGCTAATTGCTTGGGTCGTCTTCATTTGTCATGTGGCCTAATTAAACAATGGCACCTTAATTGGATCTATGGCATGATACAGCATTTTAAATTCACTCTAAAATATTCCAATCACAAATGTCTAATCTATAACAATGCAAGACGATAATTCAGTGATTATGATTACACACTTGTCAACTGGTGGTGTGTATAGACAGTGATATATTGTACAGACTGTAATATATTGTATAGATAATGTATATATTATGTGCAGTCACCAGAAAATGCAGAATTCACATTGTCAAATGGATTCGCGGAAAATCACGGAATCGTCCTAAAATTAAATTTATTCTGTGTAAAAATCATGAAATTTTATAAAATAAGCCATTTACAATGAATTTGAAAATGAAAACTCACATAGTCCAAGTCCGAACAGACGAAGCAAGTTCTTAACAAACTCAACTGGGTCAAGTAAGAATGCCAAAACATTTCATGAATAAAGGAGCAGTCAAGTGGTAAAAGTGAAATATCCAAAGAAAATATTTTAATCTCATCTAAATCAAACTTGTCTTTTACAATTCCTACAAAAACTATCAAAGTAGCAGTAGGTAAGTTTCCTGTCTCTCGAGTTGAGAGTACATGCAGATCATGAATATTCTTAGAGGTCATGACATCGATGTCTCACTTTTGAAAGCCTTTCATTGGCTTAAACTCAGAATGAGGAATTGAGTTGTCGTCTGCTAAAAAGGTGAGAAGATCAATCTCCATCACACAAATAACGGCTGAAAATCGAGCTAAACAATTTCAAAACTATTTTATGAAGATGGCAGTATTATGTTTTGTAAATTTTGTTCACACAGCGTGTACTATAAGCAAATTAATACGGTTCATCAGGATCATATTGAATCAAAGAAACATCGATCGGCCATGATGAATTCAGTCAATCAATGATACCCAGGTCTTTCTACTGTGAAATGGAAAAAAATGGACTAAAATCTGAAATGGAATTTGCCCATATCTGAAGCGGAAAATCATTATCCCTACCAGCCAATCAACCGGATTAAGGTCGTAATTGAAAAATTGAAAAGCATTTTGGCGTGTCAGATACTTAAACGTTAATAGCCGAATTAATTTTAATCAGATTGGTGTGAACTTGCTGTAAAGTGGATATAGTAACCATTGGCTATACGTACACGCAATTTAGAACTTTCATCTTATGTGGTCTTTAAACATATCTGCCTATTGCAGGTCTTTCTTGAGGCCTGAAATGTTTTCTAAATTATTAATTAGACATTAATTAACTGATCCAGTAGACGTGGTACAAGGGTTAATCAGCGAACTGGATGTATGAGATGTGTTGTTGACATTTGGGAAAGTATGACGAGGGAAAATGTGTAGGGAGTGAAGTGCTGTAAAGGGATAGTTAGATGTATTATGAATGGTTAGAGTGGCTGTGGTGTTACGGTGAAATACTATGCCGCCACCGTAACACCACAGCTTTATGATTTGTTAGACAGGAGTGATGTAATGGGTGTCAACAACTGGGTATGCTGGTACCGTCGCAACGCAGCCGTGAAATATATATTGTGGGGGGGGAAGGGCGGAAACGGAAAAATATACAATGTTGACAGTATGTGCCAGGCATGAGGCTGCGCAGACCGAGCGGGAGCTCGATAGGGGGTGTGTGGGAGGGTCACCCTCATAAAAATTTTTTTTTTTAAATTTCAGTTTTCTGTAAGCAGTGAAAACACTATTTTGGTATTGTTTGCGGGGTTAAACCTAAAAATCACATTAATACACCTATTGCACGATATTGTGAAACTAGCTGACGAAGACAGCTCGGGCGGCGATTGTTCGACTCGGGGCTGCTCTGTCAGTATCTAACAAACGCATTTAGTTGGCGTACAACTTTTAAAAACCGAATGTCAGTATGAAATTTCTCACATAATTGGTTATCGCAAAAACAGAGTAAACTGAAAGCGAGTAATCTCGACTCAAACCTATAGTCTATAGCCTACTTACTACACTCGTCACTAGGCTTCCTATATTATTGTTTGTGGACGGTTTACTACTCAGTGATAAGCCTGCGCCGCAAAAAGAGGTCTCGCCTTTTATTATTAGTATAATGACTTCCTCATGTGCGGCAGGTTAGTTTGCTTCTAAAAACACTGTTTTCCGTTCCAAAAAATACAAAAGTAATTTTCTACCAGATGACCATGGTTCTTTTCACCGAGACTAGATAATTTCTCTCGGTGTAAGGATATAGCTATGGATAAGTTCATACAAGGTCAATAAATCCGCGGTCACTTCGGGTCACACTGTTGAGAAAATAAACCGATGGGTTTGTTTAGTAGCAAATCGAGCGTGAATCAACTGAGTTTGTACTGAAAAATTTCTGAGTGATATGTATGAACTGTCTTCACACATTCGGTTTATAATTAGCGATACACAGGTACAGTGGCAAGTGTTGTACTTCACAGACTGTTTACCTCCGAACTACCTCCGCACGAAATCCCCGATTTGGGTACTTGTTAAAAGAAAAAGAAATAGTACCTGTGCGCATGCCAGTAAAAAAAAAACTAAGAGTTCGCGCATAAAAATGCCCGAACGTACCAGGCGCCAGGTCATCCAGGCCATAATCAACTCTCGATGGCATCAGATTTCTCCAATATTAAATAGATTAGAATGATTCAGTCACATTTTAATTTAATTTAAAAATGGAGGAGCGAGACTTAGCTTCGACCAACCAGTACGGTGGTTGCAATTATTGCACACATCTTGTCAAACCTTCAAAGGCTAATATCTTCGCTCGCCACAAAGTAGTTGGAATGAAATCTTAAAATTATTCATTTTACATTATCTATTTTCGAACTATTATAGCAAGAATGGCTAGCACTTTATCTAAATCTTACATAATGTATCTTTATTAGTTACCGAAATGTCACATGACCAAATGCTGATTTCACATGAAGAATTCCACTTAAATCTACCCGTTATACATGTATGTCACAGTACATTTAATAGTATGTTCAGCACTTGATCGATGATGCATTTTTATACGCCCACATTTTCTTTGTGGACACTCTACAGGTCACAACTTGAAATATATAGGTTTATATCCAGGGCCAGAGGTTGCAGTGGATCAATTTCGAGTTGCGTAAAAATACGCAGACATTCCAAAATTTTGTGTTTTTGCCCTCTACATCTGCGTGACTTAGAGCCTCTCAAAATAGTCAATATAGAAGCATGTAAAGTCGTTTTGTGAACAACCCTATTTTAAGCGTCCTTATTTCATTGATATGCCTACTGTATTTAGTCTAATGACGACTGGAGGTTAACAGCATGTCTATGGTTGACGGCACAGTCATTTCAATCTTTCACTTCGACAGGACGTAAAGAGAAAACTATCGCTATGAAAGCCAACATTTGATTGGCTGAATGTAAACAGTATATCGTGTTCTAGCCAATCCCAAGTCTTGTATGAAATGCGCTTTATTGCCTCCAATAGGATACTTACGTAGGCTTACTGCCATGAACTTATGAATGAAATAAGAGGAAATATAAAAAAACTAGAGACTACGTGCAGTAGGTGTGTAAATGCCGGGTGAAGCACATAAATTGTACAAACTACGACATAGAATAATCTAATTATTCTCACGTCGGGGAAATTTTCTGCATGTAATTTACACAGTCCCTCAATATCTGCGTTTATTTTGAAAAAAATGTGTGAAATACGTGGATTTTTGCGTGACTGCGACCTCTGTCCAGGGCTGTCGGTAATTATTCACAGATGATTAGCAGCACTGCTAATCAAAAAGTCCAATTTTGCCAAATTTCATTAGCAAATTTAAAAATTGATTAGCAGTTTTTCAGTTTCAACATAAAACACCTAAATAACAAGATTATTTTAATTTTAATTTATAGCAAATGATTAGATTTCATTCTTAAGAATTTTAGCACTGCTACGGGTAGCTGTGAACATTTCTGAATTTAATTTTTGGTTGGGCCATATGCCTGAAGCCAATTCTTGGCAGTGGCTTCCGAAGTCCCACTCATTTTAATTCTTATTTCTTCGTTAGAAAACAATTTCCTCTGCTTTTTATCGTGTGTTACTTTTTTTGTTCAATCGGATGCACACAGTATTTTACGAATAATCTCGATTAACTAGACGCATGTGATATAAACAATAATATTTTACGGGAATTCTTACTTTGATTTCTCATTTTACAATACGTTTACACATATTTATTTTTTATATTTTATTTACAATACGTGGGGGATACACAGAATTTTTTTTTTTTCAAATTGAATACTGATATAATTACTCGAAATTTACATGTCTCGCAACGTGAGCGGTACTACTACTACTTGATTCCCTATTTTCGGTTTAATAGTCCCAATTCATAGAGTTATGTTCCTGTATTATATAGTATAATGAATTGAGTCTGGGTAGTTCAAGAAGAAAATGTCACACGGAGAATTCAGTTTTGTTTATAAAATTTATTTGATATTTTATATACATTGAAAGTGTTGAGAAATGTGGATAAATCTTCGTGTCAAAATCTAAAATGACAGGCATGTTTAATGATTCGCAGTTACTGCCAATCAAAAATGTTAGATTTTAATTTTTGATTAGCAACCGACATGTCGACATGTCGCAAGAGAGAGAGAGAGAGAGAGAGAGAGTTTAACGGGCACTCGACACAAACTAGGTTATTTCAGGACTAACATATCGTTTGATTTTTTATTTCAATAATTCGCTTGCACATAGGGGTCTTAAGGCTTTAGCAGTGGGAGGAAACCAGAGGACCCGGAGAAAACCCACGAGGTTGGACTAGCGACCCTACTCCTTGTCACGTACAACTGGCTAAGTTTGATAATAACCTCAGACTTAACCTTATGAAAGTCATAAAAATAATTGGAGGCTTTTTATATATTCCATCAAATAGCAAGATCTGATCTCACATGACAACTAGTGTCATGAGCTCAAGACAGTAACTCATGAATAAGTACATCCAGCAGAAAGCTTTTAGTTTTGTTTATCTGCAGTTGATCATAATTTTTAAAAAAAAACATTCTGTTTTATTTAATAAGTAATTCATGGAGATCAATAATAATTGATCAATCTCATTTTAGTGGTAATATTCAAGTAAATCTTTTTGAACAATATAAAATTATTCCAACTATTCCCCTATATATATCATTCAATTCAAGGTATTTATTAAATACTGTTGATACTAACCGTATATTCTGAAGCCATAGGCAGTTTTAATATCTCTTGGAGCAGCTTCACTAAACACAGAAAACATGTCCAGAAAATCATCAAAAGACATGTTACCACTTCCATCTTCAGAAAATACTTCACAGACTCGAGTCTTAAATGGATTCTCCTAGACATGAGAGAATATGGGATTTCAGTCAAAGAATACTTATTATAAGGTAAGAATCAAATCACTGTTTTTAGAGAATAAGTATGTCTTAATTTTATTATCCCAAATAATCCTTTGAATTACTAAAACACATATTCCTTAAGAAATGGTTAAAAGCATTATCAGCTCTTTGGCAACTGCTACATCTACTATGATAAAGTGCTAGTTATCTTTTGCTTTGTTCAGGTTTCTACATTGGGTGAGAATATATAAACTGGGTCATTGTCTCCATGGTGTTAATACAACTGTATCAATCAAGTCACCACAAGATTGCTCTGTAACTATTGCTCAGCTTATACAATTCCTATTAAAAAGCTTAATACATGCACCTTTCAATGATGTATAATAATACTAGCTTTAATAGAAGAAACCAGACAATGTATCAACTATTTTGAATTCCATTAGTCAGATAGCTACCAGTGAAAACAATTGTCCATAATTGCTATCTAAATGTAGTAAGGGTTTGGTATCACTGCTTTGGGATTACGAATTATAAAACAAGCGGTTGCTATGCAAGATACGCCCACATTTTGCAAGAGATGGACAGAGATGGACCATGATCTTCGGGTTATAAACATGCATTTCAAGTTTCATCAAAATCGTGACTCTAGAGTGTCCACAAGCTAAAAACGTGATTTTTCGTACAATCAGGGGTAATAATCCATAAAGTTTCGATCCGATACATGCCAATATCGAAAGCAAACAAGATCTTTTGGAGATAAACCTATATTTCAAGTTTCGTCAAAATCGGACAAGAATTATGATCTGTAGAGTGTCCATAAACAAATTGTGGACGGACTGGGGCAACGACAATATATGTCCACATAAAAATGTGTCAAATTTCATTCTGTGAAACTTTTTTTGTGAGCAATTACTCACATACATTGTATAGTTCATGACACTAGTCAAAATCGAGGCATAATAATAAGTGTTAAATAAAACAGCCCTATACAATCACAATTATCAAAATCCATTAATTGACGGAAGACTATATAAATGTTTATAAAGATGTCCTACCATTTATTTGTTGAGAGTAAAAGCCTGCATTGCGTATTTCTGCAAACCGAGACTACATGGTTGGGTTTGCTTGAAACTGTAATAGTTTTTGCAAAGAAAAATCATGTAGATGTAACCGAGCTATTTTTGAATAACTATCCTCGTTTGACTTTGCCTCAGCTTATTTGCCTTGCCTTCAATCTATTTTTGAATGGACTCCCACAGTGTTGAAGTGGCACTTTCCCATCTGTATTCTGAGGAGAGCATTCCTTCACTTCTGGTCATTTTACTCAATGCAAGGTATCTAACCTACACATAATGTAAATACTTACATATAATTCTGCCATGCCTTCTATCACATCAACTGGCATTTTGATTTTACGACTTTCATCACCTGTCATATTAAAAGGAATCAGATCTGGTGCCAACTCCTGATATCTTTTAAACACTCTGAAAGTAAAAATACAGAGAGGCCCATGTAGTATTATGATTACCTAGTTAGTCCTTACAAAATGTCAGTATTATAATATGATACTGCAAGTAACTATTTAAAGGAGCCAAGTCTTTAACTCAATATCACCCACAGACTTCGATATTGCAAACACAAAATGAAAATTTTAAAATTAGCACATGAATCGCGCGTCAGAATGCTTTCGAGCGCCATTTGTATGATGAAGCGACTCGGTGAACGAAGCTAAACGTATCCAATATAGGAGAATGCTACCAGTGTAGACTGGAATAACAAAATGCCGAAGACTGACATTCAATTCGGACTCCCGGCATATTTCGCGTAACTCATTAGAAATTACAGTAAAAACAGAAACGATTTTATGTAAATCAGTTTATATTTATATTACATTATTATATGCGTTGCAACCTTATTGGCAAATGGTGTCCATTCTAGGGGCTAAAGAATAGCGATTTAGCTCCTTTAAAACAAGCAAGACACTAAGGCGGATTCCTACACAATAAGCTGGGGGGTTGGGTGGGCGAATGGTTAACATGGGCACGTTCGATCAGAAAGTGTGTTATTGAGTCAAGCAGCGTGGTTTCGATTCTCCACTTGTACCTGACAAGGAGTAGGATTGCAGGTCTCCTATGTAAAGTTTAGTAAACGGAATAACGGACTGTAGTATTACGTGACAGAGCTATCAGAATAACAGATTTACACGCTGTCCAACCTTCTATCAAACTTGAGGATCATGAAACGAAAGGACTATCAGGCCATAAATGGATTAGAATAAGTTCAATAACTGATGGGCAGAGTAAAGCACAAATATTATGAACTGAAGCGTTAGGCAGGAAGCTCAGTGTGTAGGAATCCGTCTTAGTGTCTTGCTATTCGAGTCTAAATACTCTCACCAGAAACTAAAAGGTTGATATTGATCGATTCGGCTGAAATTTGGTGTGAGACCATTATTTGCTAGTCCCCCTTAACAACCCCTGAAAATTTCACTTTTGCCAGCATGTAGGCTACACTGTAATGTAACTTTACCTGAGGATTTCTTTACGTGTGAAGAAGGTACAATCCTAGAAAAAAAAATATATTATATAAATAACTATCCACAACATTTTTCTTATCGTCGCTTTTCTCAAAACGACGTAACTTCAGATAGATCGATACAACCATTTATTAACTTGATTTTTAAGATCAAAGAGTGCAGTCTTGATTTCCAAATGGTGGCCTACATAAAAAATGGAGCTAATTTTCAAGACGAAGCTTATTTGGATACCAGTACCAGTACTACAGTCTAATGCCACAGTCCCTGTAGCATTTTTGCGGGGTACCAACATCGGTTACAGTGCTCAAATTTCCGGGTGGGAGTAGGACTGGGAATGATGAAACTGGAAAGACATTATAATCATTATTATTATGAATATTACAATCACAATATTTATTAATGATAATCTGAAAAGGGGGCAATTGCACTTTCGCACCTCTACCAGTTCCTGTGGTCATAAAGACTTGTAATTTTCAGGGGGTGTCCAGGGTGGCTAGCCATGACCTCACTCTAAATTTCATCCGAATCGAACGATAACTTTTCATTTTACCAACCTTGGTACGAGAGATACGTTCATGTGACAAACTCCATTTTGTTGGTTGACTATTTAGACTTGAATAACAAGACACTAAAATGACTAAGACGGATTTCGACACACTGCACTTCCTGCCTAACGCTGCAGTTCATAATAATAATAATATTAATAATAACTAGAACTGCGACGCAGTAATGACAGGTTTCACCGCTGCCACATTACTCTTGAACTGACATCACTTCCCTTATAGGCCGAATTCTCGGGGTGAAAATCTTGTCACCTTCACTCCTGCTAAACCGGTCTACAAATCGGACTACGAATAATCGTGCAATCAATATGTCAACAAAGTTCTCCAATAAAATTTGCCAATTTAATAGTTCAAGCTCGAAATAGGCTAGAAATCGATGACTTATTTCTTTATAGTGCAGAGCCATATTTGCGTAGATGTGAGTTGGATCCTGTGCAGCTATTTAAAATTTGGCCAATCAGCGATCGCGCTTGCGGGGTTGCGGTCAAAAATTCTGGGGTCAAGTGCCAGGTCATAGCATTTGTAAACAAAGCCATGTGCACGATTTACCTTGCAAATTGCTCGCGGTCGGGACGAACAGAGATTAAATGAACCCCAAAAACGTCCCATCCGTGTAGAGAAGTGGTATATGAGAGCCACAAAAGGTATTTTGATCACACTGACATAAAATGTGGCAGTCAGTCTGGTTTTTTCGACACTGATTAAGGATATTGGACCAGTCGATTTCAGTAGAAAAATGCCTTAATATCAAGGGAGATTACAGAGAATACAAGAAGGTCACTGCTTCTATAAGTGTAATTCTAATAAAATCATTCATTTTACATAACAAAATACTTAAAATCTGTCTAGCCTGCTGTCTTAATAATGATCATGGATAGGCTAGTGTATAGCTAAGATTAAGAATGAAAAAACATATTTTGAAATAGAGGTTGGGAACTTAAAAAGTTGCAGAAATATTAAGAATAAATGCTTAAATTATTTGAACTAGCTCAGAATTGTCAGGGAAAAGCCCATATGGACGAAATAAAATTTTGCATCTACAATGTATAAGCTTACAATAGATATATGAATTCAAATAACACATGACTGTAATTAAAAGCTGTCAAATTTCAGTCTCATATAGAACAAGCGGTTGCCATGCAAGATACGCCCACATTTTGCAAGAGATGGACAGAGAACAAGCTCAAAAAAAGAAGTGATTTTTTCGTACAATCAAGGGCCATAATTCAGGAAGTTATGATCCAATATGTGCGAATATATCGAAAGGAACCAAGATCTTTGGGTTATAAATATGTATTTCAAGTTTCATCAAAATCGGATCAAAATTGTGACCTCTATAGGGTCCACAACCTTGATAAACCATATTTTTAAGCTATTTGAGAACGAACGGCGGCCATTTTGTCTGTCAATTTTTGTCAGTCGACCCTAGGGTGTAACGGTGATATAATAATACGTTTTTTTATATCGGATAAAAATTATGACCTCTATAGGGTCCACAAGCTAAAAACGCGATTTTTCGTACAATCAGGGGCCATAATTCAGGAAGTTACGGGCCGATATGCGCGAATATCGAAAGGATCCAAGATCTTTGGGTTATAAACTTACATTTCAAGTTTCAACAAAATCGGATAAAAATTGTGACCTCTTTAGGGTCCACAACCTTGATATACCATATTGTTCGAACTCAGTCATCCTTAGGGTGTAACGGTGATATAATAATACAGGTTTTTAAATCGGATAAAAATTATGACTTCTACAGGGTACACAAGCTAAAAACGCGATTTTTCATCCTCAGTGTGTAACGGTGATATAATAATACGTTTTTTTAAATCGGATAAAAAATTATGACCTCTATAGGATCCACAAACTAAAAACGCAATTTTTCGTACAATCAGGGGCCATAATTCAGGAAGTTACGGTCCGATATGTGCGAATATCGAAAGGAACCAAGATCTTTGGGTTATAAACTTATATTTCAAGTTTCAACAAAATCGGATAAAAATTGTCCACAACCTTGATATACCATTTTCTTACGCTATTTTGTCTGTCAATTTTGGGCCAATTTTCACGAAATTCGAAATTCAGTCGTCCCTAGGGTGTAACGGTGATATTATAATACGTTTTTTTAAATCGGGTAAAAATTATGACTTCTATAGGGTCCACAAGCTAAAAACGTGATTTTTCGTACAATCAGGGGCCATAATTCAGGAAGTTACGGTCCGATATGCAGGAATATCGAAAGGAACCAAGATCTTTGGGTTATAAACTTACATTTCAAGTTTCAACAAAATCGGATAAAAATTGTGACCTCTATAGGGCACACAAGCTAAAAACGTGATTTTTGGTACAAACAGGGGCCATAATCCATGAAGTTTCGATCCGATACATGCCAATATCGAAAGCAGCCGAGATTTTTTTGGGATAAAGCTATATTTCAAGTTTCGTCAAAATCGGACAAGAATTGTGACCTGTAGAGAGTCCACAAACAAATTGTGGACGGACGGACGGACAGGGGCGACGACAATATACATCCACATGAAAATGTGGGCGTATAAAAATGGGTTTTGTCTGCAATTGCGAATGAACCAGATGGCACTCTCCCCCCATCAATATGAGGCTCACCTACGACATAGTGTACATGTAATCATCGATAAAAGTGCCAAACACACTTTCAATGTTCGAATCTTGCTTCTGATTAATAAATATTATCAAAACAGCAAAAGTGTTGTTGGTGCTTTAAATAAAATAATAAAAATGCTGTTTTTATTTCGCACTGGACTAAATTGTCCCTCTTTTGTGTGGCCTCAGCTCAAACATACTTGGATTTTTTCTTGCAAATTATACAGATCTCTGATAAAATTGACTTCTTTAACTCTGATTTAGTAGTATCAAGTACTGTACCATGATGTGATTCCTTTGGTGAGATTAATGAAGGAGTAGGGGTGAATGAGACACACTTTTAGTTTTTAAAGTTGTTGAAGTACTAAGCCTAGTAGTAGGGGTTATGGACATAAAGGCCCTAAACCAAAATGGCTCAAGTATTTGGTCATAACGGTCAAACATTTTGGTCATAACTACATAACGGCCAAAACATTAGGGTCATAATGGCCAAAAAGAACACTTGAATTTTGATATATTATGTATCAAATGATATCTATTAATATAAATATTGCATAATATAAATACCAATATTTCTTAATAGATAATATTTTCATATACATTTATTTAATACATAAATTTAAATACACTGTAGACATTTATACTTAATACACTGTATAACTATAACATACATAATTTACAAAAACATCTATTTAATATGGAGGGTGGGTGGCGAATGGTTTAACATGTACACATGAAATCATAAGGTCTGTCATTGCGTCAAGTGACATAGTTTCAATTCTCCGCTTGTACGTGACAAGGACTAGGGTCACTTGTTCAACCTTGTGGGTTTTCTCCGAGTCCCCCAGTTTCCTCCATCTGTTTCAGACCCTTACACGCTAGCGAATTATTTAAATAAAAAGGAACCATAGGTTGGACCCCAAAATGACCTACTTTCTGTAGTCTGGACATTAATGTTCAGCTCATGTTACTTTATCAGTGGGGTGTGAAGGACTTAATTAGGGATTATCAAAAACTTTGATTAATTAGTATCCCCTCTTTCGATTGAAACACAGCATGCAATGTTTTCTGGACTTATGGTCTGTAGCCTATATATGATGCACCTTTATAACATTTATTTATTACTTCTACTAGTTGGAATAGAAGTGGCCATATCTTGTTGAAGGTTTGGTGAAACCGTTTTTGAAATATTATGTTATGAGTGAATTGTTATTTTTGTCGAATGATTAATATACTAATATTCATTTGTTAAATAATGTTTGGTAAAATATATTATGACCAGATCACAGTAATAGTCTGTATGTGGTGACAGTTTTAGTTTCGGTTGGACTGAATGTAGACGCTGCCTTCTCACTCTTTTTTCTTTCTCGCATCTTTTAAATGTTTTGTTCCTAAAACATCTATAAAACATTGGGTGAAATCCAAAATCACTGCCGACTGTATCTTCAATATAATATCCTTCGTAATAAATCCATTTGTATCGAAAAATGCTGCAATTAGTATTAGTGCAATGGAATGGTCATTTCCATCCAATTGAAACCAGTCTATAGCTACCTCACGACATTTGGCTCACCTTGTGTTTGTAAAGGGTTCTGCACCTCCCTTATTTACTGTCTAAGTGAACAATACAAGTTAATTGTGCCTTTGTTGCCATTTCGTGTAGCTTCTACATGTATAACTGCAATGTGTTCCTCGTGAAGCCCGCCATTTTGTGTTTACTAACAACACACGCGAATGTAGACAATACCGTGATTGGTCGATTGTGGAAAAAACGATCACGTGACACAGCGAACAACGCTGAATTCTGCCCCGTGACCTCGCGCACTATGAATTTTACTATCAATAA